ATTGCAGCGGGCAGGGGCGACGCTTAAGARCCCTCTTTCACAAAGATTGGCCGCGGAGCATGCGCATGCGTTGGAGGGGGCGATGGCTATGGATGACATGTACGGAGGTGAGGGTGGTGTCCTGCCGGATGAGCCTGTAATACAGGTACAGGTCCCTGCCACAGAGCAGGGCAGAGGTGATGCAGATGATCGTGCCGAGGAGCTGCCAGTGCGTACACGTGATTCAGATGATGGGCGCGACCGCTTGCGGTCACTCGTCRGTATGACGGCTCCAACTGYTGGGGGAGGGGCGACAACGACTCCTGGCAGGCAGGTTGYATCCACAAATATGACGTTGAGAGTGAGACAGTCGACCTTGGATCCTTTCATTGGGAACAAGGTGCAAAAGGATCTCGATCATATCTTGGCACTTGCCACGTATCGAGCCGGCGTTTCCTTCAACTGGCTGCGGTTGAAGGAGAGGTAAGATTACTGGGATTACATTGTCACACTCCTGCGTCCATCCATTGTGGCAGTGCCATGACTGCTGACATACGAGGGAGTACAAGGCAAAGTGGGTGGACACCGGATGCACGTTGATGACGGACGGGGCGACGGACCAGAGGAACAAGCCCATCATGAACTTCATAGCAGTAGGGCAGTCTGGACCGGTACTCATTCGTACCATTGATATGTCAGACAGGGACAAGACAGGCGTCAGTTTAGCGGACATATGGGAGAGTGTCATACGAGATGACATTGGAGTCGACAATGTGAATGCGATTTGCRCTGACAATGCGAAGGTCATGAAGGTGGCGGTCAATGTTCTGCAGTCCCMCCCCGACCCCGCCATTGCACGCATACCTTGGATCCCGTGCGCAACACATTGCCTGAGCTTGCTGCTGAGGGACATTGCTGCACAACCTTGGGCTAGATTCATCATGAAGCAGRCACACAAGTTGGTGAAGTTCATGAGAAACAAACAGAGGGCGCTCACRCTGCATCGGGGCACGGAGCATGCAYTGGACCTCACATGACCGGCGGATACTCGGTTCAGGACTACTTTCATGATGTTGGAGAGGTTGTGGGCACAGAGGTTCGTGCTTGACGAGGTGGTGTCATCGGATAAGTGGAGACGTGCAYGATGGGCCGGCGATGAACGGACTGAGGAGCCGGAGGTCCGCAGACTGTGCAGRTCTGATTCATGGTGGCAGCAGGTGAAGAGAGTGATGGACGTCATAGAGCCGTGTTACAATTTCCTTAGGGACATGGACCGTGACGGGTCGTCACCGCCTGGTTTGTGGGATTTGCAGTCAATCCTTGAGAGGGAGATTGATGCTCTGCAGTTGGAGGAGCGTGAGAGGGCGACTGYCATGGAGATTGTGGCGGACAGGTGCGCGATGATGCGTCTGCCCATGCTGCAGCTTATTTATTAGACCCTCGTCGRCGTGACGTGACTTYGTTGCGGGATCGTTCGGCCCCCGTTGTGCAGAGCGCACTCGACCACTTTGCACGCACCTTGGGTGGGGACTGGGGGGCRGATGAGATGCACACACTTTGGGAGGCTTTGTGGACTTTCCATTGTGACGATCCGCATTACTGGCCGGAGCATGGACCTCACTGGTGGGATCAGTTCGCCACTCGGGATGCAAAATTGAAGATCATGCACCCAACGTTGTGGTGGGAGCTTCACGGCGGCCGTTTTCCAAAGTTGCAAGCCATCGCGAAGAAGGTGCTTGGCATGTGGTTCACAGCGACTCCTTGCGAGACAATTGGGCGACCCTTGACTTCATACACACGAAGAGGTGCAACAACCTTTCTGCGCAGAGTGTTGAGAAGCTCGTGTTCGTTCACTAGAACATGCAACTTCTCAATGCGAGCAGGCGGCCGGATACTCGTTATATCGACGTGTGGGCGGATATGGTGGAGGACCCCCCGGAGGAGATCGACGACGCAGATGTCATGCCCGCAGACATGGGCGAGGAGGAGTGGGAGCACATGGATCAAGTTAACCGTTGCAAGGATGGTCGTAACCGGAGAACATCTGTATTGGCGGATGATCATGTGGCAGATGATTAGTCCCCATGGCAAGATGCGGTATGGATGCACTGCGAAACGATGGAGCGTGCACAGGCGGATAGGGGCAAACGGAAGGCGGTCGCAGAGGACCAGCACGATATTATGGATGAGTGGGCGACATTGGACCCTCACACAGACTTCGACTCCTACGTGGATGGCAGTTTCCAGACGGTGAGGACCCTTCGAAGCAGGGCGGGAGGTCACGTTGATGTGGAGGGTCTATTGGCGAGAGACGATGCAGAGGAAGAGGACATTCAGCGCTGCYACGAGGACATCCTTGCGTCAACTGCACATCCACGGGCGACAGAGATCCGGTCATCAGGCGCCGCGACAGCACAGTGCCTCATTCGTCCAGAGTCTTCTCATCATGCGGRGCCAGTCACCGTCGATTCCATATGYCTGGAGGCACATGCTTCTGCCACGACAAGGTCCCTTGCTTGCACCGACAACATGCGCAGGACTAACGGGTCTTCAAAGGYTGTCGTGGACCATGGTGCCGTGCACRGGGCAGAGCAGAGGCTACAGRATAGCATGGGTGATAGGTCAGCTCAGGGATAGGGTGGAGCATGTGGTAGAGCAGCGTGCAGAGCGTCCGGGGGTCAGACAGACTGTCGTGCAGACAGTGGATCAGAGGGTGGATGATGTAGTACAGGACTTGACGGGCCAGAGGGTTAAGGAGAGGGTGGATCATAGCGCAGGTCGGAGATTGGATGAGAGAGCACACCCGCCGGACAGGGAGGGCATTCGTCCCATGGTCGTGCAGACTGCAGAGCAGCGTGTGGGGGTGGGTTTGGCCGCGATGGTGGAGCAAAGGGCGGAGCAAAAGGTACATCTATGTGTTGCCTTAGGTGTAGATCCTAGGGTGGAGCAGAGGGCGGAGCAGAGGGTGGAGCAGAGGGTGGAAGTTAGGGTGGATGTTAGTGTGGAGCACCACGTGGACCAGGGGAGATCAAACATCGTTCGCGAGAGAGTGGGCGAGAGGATTGACGGGAGTGTCGTCGGAGATGAGGGCGGTGTGATGGTGGAGGAGAGAATAAAGGATAGGGATAGGGAACCCCCRCAGGAGAGTAGTGCACGAGACATCGCACTCACCGGAGCTCCGTTCTACGGGATTCCCCCGTTACCCCCACGTGCCGCACACTCCTCGCAGGGGCCGGATCTTGGTTTACGTGGCATGTCGTCACCACATCGCGTGGCAGCTCARAAGGGAGCATCTAGAGGAGTCATGGGTGGTGTCGACCACRGCTCCAGCCAGGCGACACAGGGAGGGGGACGCAGCTTGTTATTGATGAGTCGCGTACCCTCGACCAGTCCAGCAGGCATACCGCCACGGCCTGGACCTGGACCCATCCATTCGCCCCACTCATCCACGCTCAGTGGGGGCTCTAGTCTTCCCACGTCAGTACGACCGTCATTGTCCAGGAGTCTCTTCCTGCGATGCGCAGTCCAKTTGGGATACCCCCKCTTCCGGCACGACGACCATCAGCCATCCGCGATAATGTCAAGATGAGTCGTGCCGGCAGGAAGAGGAGACAGAGGGAGGAYGACGGAGACGAGGATCCACCCCCCCCACTCCCCTGAGCAGGCACTGGTCGAGCACGTGGCCGCCCACGTGGCTCGGGCAGAGGACGAGGCAAGCAGCAACAATCATGGGCACTGAGTGCACTTGCGGATGCTGATGCAGAGACCGTTGATCTTGGGGAGGGGATCRCTGCAGGCGACAGTGTCTCGGGCGGTATCCGTACTAGATCTCAAGCCGTCGACAGAGAGAGGCAGAAAACCTMTTATCGTGTGGTGGACGATGATCCTGRTGGTGATGATCACGRCAACACATCGGATGAGATGTCTGACAGTGACTACACGCACGAGACTCGTCAGAGGGGTCAGGCTGAGGGAGGAGATGATAACAACTCCGATGGCACTGGCGACATGGCAGATTAGAGGGATGTTGTGTCGTCGAGTTCATTCTTCTGCGTCCATGGGGAGTTGTGGCATAACGGGTCTCAAGAGGTGGATGCAATATGCATTTGTTGAGTGAGAGTGGAGCATTGGTTGCAGCCATAGCGGCAGAGAGAGAGAGAGAGAGAGAGAGAGAGAGAGAGAGAGAAAAAAAAAAAAATAAAAAAAAAAATTGTTGTTGTACTCCATTTGCTGTGCTGGTAGTGCGTAGCTTCTGTTTCTGTCTCATTCCCTCGTCCAGCTTGAATCCGTATCAGCGATCTGCAACTTAGTTCAATGAATGCGTTTATTGATATAGCTCGTGTGCATGTGTGTTTGTGTTTCTGTGTGGAACTGTGTGCATGTGTGCTCACGTGCATGTCACTGTGTGTGTTTGTGTGTGGATAAAATGTGTGCGTGTGTGATGCCGCTGTCACTGTAGCTGCTGCATCTGCCGGCGCGGATGGTCAACTCACTGCATCAGACGGAGCAGCTGCAGTCACTGCATGTGTAGCATTTGCTGACTGCAGCCGCAGGTCGTCGAATTCAACTCCCCAAGCAATCGCCCCCCCCCCCAACACCCCACCATCACACCTCCCTCACCCAATATGAATTTTTTTTTCGGTTTTACTCTAAACAGCCTGAATTTTTTTTTGGGGGGTTCCCCTACTGGTGCGCATACCCCCCCGCCTTTTTTTTTTCGTTTTTTTTTGTCAAAAATATAGTTGTCCGATTTTCCAGACAACTCCCCCCTGACCGTCTCCCGGAGACGTCCGAGGGAGACGTTTCCCAATCGGACAGCTGGCAGCCTAAATTCGAACAACTTTCCTCCCGGTGAGCAGTCCAAAATTTTGCCTCAATTTTCGGTAATTTAATTAAAGCAAGAAAACGAATTATTATAATATTTAGGCTAATTAACAGGCTAATCAGCACGGGGTCAGCAAGAAAACAAAGTCTAAACTTATTTAAATAGAAAAGAGTGTCGAAATTCGGTTTTAAATAGAACCTACAGACCTTATTCACAAAATATTTGAATACAAGGCACATGCTTTATTTGAGGAAAAATAGAAACTTCCTCCAATCTGGGCGTTATCAAAGAAGTTGATTTATTAGCCGATCAAACGTATAAAACRAATTTKAATTAATTTGATTTTTAATTTTTAGTATTTAATTCGATATATTTAAAAAATTRAAGGGAATTTTCTAGTTAAATTCCTAAATTATTTGCCACGTTMTATTCTTTTTCGAGAGTTCGGTATGTCGGTTTTGCGTGGGGAAGGTCTCAAAATTTCGAAAAATAATTTCCGAACAAAATCTCACCCGACACGCGCCACGGAAAATGACTCAAATTTTCAGTCATAAAACATAATAATATTTTTATTTATAGATTTTAATTTACCAGATTCAGTTAAATTACCATATCCGAGTTTTCCTCCGCCGGTTTCACTCGCGAGAGGGGTCTCAAAACTTTCAAACAAGTGAACCGCCAAACTTTGGTCTGGATATTTACCGGTCAAAGTCGCTGGGTTCTGAAGTTAGAATTAAAAAAAGCATAAAACTATAATTAAATTATATCAACTAAGTAGGGTCTCAAGCCATTAGGGTTCTCATTCTCGCGCTCGCTCGCACGCACACCGCTGAACGTTTTCACGCAATGGGACTTGGCACAATTTTATTTGGGTGTATAGCAAAATCTTCTAATGGATCAGATTTGTTTTTATCGACCCTTTTAATTAAAAAAAAAAAAAAAAAAAGATTATAAAATTCGGTACTTTTAATCAAATTCATGGGGCTGTTGGTGCGCCTCCTGATCGCATTCGTCATCGGTTTCCCCCGAAAATTATCTTAAAATTTCGAAAAAATTCTCCTGATCAACTTCACTCTCGATAGACGTTCATGATCTTCGCTCCAATTTATAGCAAAATAAATCAAAGTTAAAATATTTTTTTCTAATAAAAAAAAAATCAATAAAAATTTGTTCCCACTGCTTCATCATCAGGCTGGTTTCCCCTTGAACGAACCTGGTCGCACCAGCAGGCAGGTGGTCTGAAATATTTTCAAAGTAGACAAATCAGCATATGCCCTTTTCAGCTATCCAGTAGTGCAGTATAATTTGGTCCTCTCACAAGGCACTTTAMAGTCAGGGAACTGCCCGTAATTAGGTGYTTGATAGCACTTCGCTGTCACAKGACAACAAATGCAGATCTCGGAAAGCCGATTTCGATATGTTTTCAAACATGATTAAATTAATAAATGGTCTCYCYAATTGGTASGGCAAAGTAATGCAGCCCTTTCCGAGAGCACTTGAAAGTCAGACTACATTTTTTGATTGGATGTTTGACGGGACTTCATCATCAAGGGACAAATTCTGATATTATTTCAAAATAATTAAATGGATAAATTGCCTCTTCGATCAGTCAAGTAGTGCAATGYRGCCCTCTTTCGGGGCACTTGAAAATCGGGTGATCGTGATTTGATGCTTGAYAACAGTCCAAATGTTTGACAACGCTTACCGTCATGGGACAACARATGCAKATTTTGAGAAGCAGTCTCTGATATGTTTTTAAAATAATTAAATTAATAAATGGTCACCCCAATCAATAGAGTAGTGTAATGCAGCCCTCTCTCATGGCACGTCAAATCTAGGCTACAGCTCGTGATTGGGTGCTTGACAAGACTTCGACATCACGGACAGCATTACTGCAGCCCTCTTTTAGAGCACTTGAAAGTCAGGCTATTGCCCATGATTAGGTGCTTGACAACACTTCGTCGTCATGGACAGCATTAATGCAGSCCTCTCTCTCTCTTTCTCTCATTCACTACCTCTCTCACACTTCTTTTACCTCTCGCTCTTTCTCTCTCACTGCACACTCTCTCTCTCTCACTACCCAGTGCGTCTCTCTCTCTCTTATCTCTGTCTGCAGTCTCTTTCTCTCTCACTGCGCACTCTCTCTCTCTMTCTTACTGCGCAATCTCTCTCTTTCTTTCTCTCACACTTTCCCATGCATTCACCAGCTCGTTGCCTTTTGCTTTCTCACTTACTTACCGCTCACCTCCACAAACTGAAGCCTGTCAGCTGCAGTCCACTGACTCGCACGAACGGACACTAACAGACACCATCCAGAATGCTGCGTACATCCGGCTCGATGTTCCCCGTTGGTGCCACCCTGGTGGGCGACACACACCTTGCGCGCCGTCATCTCCTTAATAATCATCTCCCCCTCTTGCATCCTCCATGTTTCGTTTTATTCCCTTCCCTGTGGGCGGCGTACGCCATGCGCGCGGTCCCTTCCCCAAGTCAAAACCCTTGCTTGTATAGCTGCCAGCCGAGTTGGCACCCGCAGGGGCAGGCCCATGCCCGAAAAGGAAAGGGCGCCGACCGCTGGCCCAGTCCCAACTGCTGGCCCGGTACCAGCTGCTGGCGTGGACTACAGATCGGGGTTCGGTAATAGACCTCTTGTCTGGCATCATTAGGACCAACAACAGGTCCATCAACTGCTCTTGTGGTGCAGACCCAGACCTGGTGTAGTTTCCATACCAGCAGTCCCTGCCCGCTGGAGTTCTAGTGTCAACGCAGGGCCAATGGCAGCAGTGCAGTCCGATGCAGTCCCGGTACCATAGATGTCCTTGGCCCAGTGGCTGTCCCATCCTCACAATCCGCAGTAATCCGATCCAGGACTGCACCTCCGGCCGAGACTCGGCCCCCAAGTACTAGCGAACCATGCTAATGAATTGTACCAATGCATTGGCCAATGAACCGCTCCAAGAACCCGCACTAACGAGCCGCATCCCCGTACCGTACCTGCGCCGAACTGGTGACCGTCATGGTCCCAGACCGGAGCCCATACCGTGACGGTTAAGTAAGGTCTGATGACGACTAGAAAAACCATCACTTAGAAAAGCTCAGTATGAGAAGGTTCATTCACCGCAAAATACCCAATCGCCGCAGCCCGCTCTCCGCACTCTTAATTATATTATAATAATAATAATAATAATAATAATAATAATAATAATAATAATAATAATAATAATAATAATCACTCGCATTCAGGGGAACAGGGGTCATAAGCGGGGTAACAAAATAGCTTAGATTGGGACAAACGTCGGGGGGGATACATAATCAGGAGAAAATAAAATGAAAATAAAGTACCATTCAAGATCGCAGGTTTGAAGTTCTTTTTTATCATTAATTATTTCGACCGCGTTGTTAAATTTATTCATAAAAAAAAAAAAAAATCATCCCAATTCGGCCGCGCAAAACCGACCGTGCGAAGACCCGCGCACACGTTGGCCACCGGGTATGGAGGGAATAGAAATAAAAGGAAAATAAGTCGATGATAGGGGTGTCAAGGGTGGGATAAATTAGTATATTCATCTGTATAAAAGTAGGGTTAGTATGAACGAGAGACGGGGCGAAAAACAGGGGTCGACCTAGTTACCCTGTTTTTTGACCGCTTGTCCCTTAACACTAACCCTCAAATTTGTACTGTTTGATCAATCGACTCTTCAAATTTTCCATTTCGGGAGGCCGATTGACTTTGGTCGCCGGACAATAAGCCCGGACCCCTTCTTGAATACCCCGTCGAACCTTCAACTTGTCCGGGCGATAGTCCGGACCCATTTGTGAACAGTCTCTTATGTCCTAACAACTACGCTAGAAACTTCTTCAGTCGGGGCGTTGGGCTGACTTGAATTGAGTTTCCGGGCGACAACCTAGACTCAGTTTGAGTTGTCCGGGAGCGCCACAAACCCTAGTTAGTAGAGCCCAAGAGAAGAGGTGAGCAGGAGGGCCGCAACCCTGATCAGCGGCACCCTGCAGTATGCAAAAAACTTAGTGAGAAGGGTGGTCGGGATGGGGGAACACCTCTAACAGCAAACTGTCGTATAAGGAAATGAAGACTCAGAATAGTTAGAAATAGGGAAAAGAGAGAACCTCAAGAGACATTGGTAGAGAGAAGTATAGAAAAGACAAGGAAAGAGCGTCAAGGAGGCCCAGCCGGGTGATCGATCTCCTATCGCGGGTCGATCGAGCACGTGTGGTTCAAAGTGAGACTGAAGTCGCACTAATCCCTTCAGCCAAGTAATGCTAAGCAAAGTCTAGACTGATTTAAATAGAAAAAAAATATCGAAATTCAAGTTTAAATAGAGCCTACATGCCTTATTTGAAAAATATTCAAATACAAGGCATGCGCTCTATTTGAGGAAAAATATAAATTTCCTCCAATCTGGGCGTTATAAAAAAAGACGATTTATCAGCCGATCAGAAGTATAAAACGAATTTTAATTGATTTTATTTTTAATTTTTAGTATTTAATTCGATGTATTTAAAAAATTTGAGGGAATTTTCTGGTTAAATTCCTAAATTATTTGCTATGTTTTATTCTTTTTCGAGAGTTCGGTATGTCGGTTTTGCGCGGGGAAGGTCTCAAAATTTCAAAAAATAACTTCCGAACAAAATCACACCCGGCGCGCGCCACGAAAAATGGCTCAGATTTCCAGTTATAAAACATAATAAAATTTTTGTTTAAAAATTTTAATTTACCAGTTTGCACTTAAATTATTATATCTGAGTTTTCGTCTGCCGGTTTCACCCGCGGGGGGGTTTCAAAAATTTTGGACAAGTGCACCGCCCAACTTTGGTCTGGATATTTGTCGGCCAAAATCGTTGGGTTCTGAAGTTAGAATTAAAAGAAGAGTAAAACTATAATTAAATTATATCAGCTAAGTAGGGTCTCGAGCCATTAGGGTTCTCATTCTCGCGCTCGCCCGCATGCACACCGCCGAACGTTTTCACGCAATAGAACTTCACACAGTTATACTTGGGTGTATAGCGAAACTTTCCAATGGATCAGATTTATTTTTATTAACCCTTGTCAGTAATTAAAAAAAAAAAAAAAAAAAGATTCTAAAACTCGGTACTTTTAATCAAATTAACGGGGTTGTTGGTGCGCCTCCCGGTCGCATCCGTCATCTGTTTCGCCCGAAAAGTATCTCAAAATTTCGAAAAACTTTTTCCGATCAACTTCACTCTCGATAGACGTTCATGATTTTCGCTCCAATTTCTAGTAAAATAAATAAAAGGTAAAATAAATGTTTTTAATCAAAAAAAAAATCAATAAAAATCATACTTGCGGCGCATCGACCATGTGCGCTGCGCGGTGCGCTGCGCAGCGCGTGGTGCGCGAACCCGAGATGTGTGCGCACCTGGGTGCGTGATGCGCTGCGCGCAGGGCCGATGCGCTGAGCGCGGCGGTCCCACACCCAGACGCAAAGTAGTTTTTGTGTCGGACCTCACGGTCGTGTCACGCAGGAGTTTCTTTGTCACTTTACGCAATACCAACTCCGGCCGTGCGCGCATGCTATACCTCTCGCGACTCCCTACGACAGGTTAGGGTCCCGCGATGTACAACATTACCTCCACCTGCGGGAGTTGTCACCATCCCTTAGGTGGGTGTATCCCTCCTGAGCTACTGACCCACGTGCGAAGGTTTTTACATGCAATCGCAGAGGTAGGCCAACCGAGGGCKTTTTCTCGATCGCCGTAGCAYARGCATACGCGYGGTAGAACGCCTTAAGACTGACCCGTATGTCATGTCCCGAGGTGCTAATTCCCCGGACCGACTACCTAATCAGGTCGACTTTCTCGGACAGTCTTYCACGCTTAGCCAACCATGAYAATGACTCTATGTTTTMTTTGTTGACCTTATGAAAATGTCAGAGTCAARCCCTTAGTAATCTCTCATTCGTTTCAAAAAAAGTCCCAGACAAATGACTTCCTAGGTACCGACGAGCCTACGATCTCACTCACAGATATATATATATATATAAGTTTGTATGTAATATCAGGGGAGCTGAATGAGCGGTGAACCTCACTTTCACAATTGCGGTGCCCTTGCCTGAATATCCCAGATAATCTCAAGGTTCAAAAGACCGCACAGATGTCCAACACCTGTGCAGATGCAAGAAATCACATACACGCATACAGATGCAGACATAGAATGCACTACAAGTGTCAAACTTTAACCCATTCATAGCAAGTCATTCATGCCCCAAAACCTTGAAAACAACATTCCTTCCTAAACCTGACTCCTTTTACCCCAGCCCTTTACATTTTCAAAGACCTCTGAGTGTGATTTGGACAAATTTAGGTGTAGATACAGGAGGAAGATTTATCTGTTCCTTTCTTAGGTCTTGTCTTAGGTGTGGGTATCAAGCCATGTGGAAGTTGAGTCGAAGTTATATCGACCTGTTATCAAATGATAACAAAATTTGCAGTTCCTTACGAATTTCTTCCGTCGTCCTCTCTAMGAGTGTCAAACCTGTAGACACAACACAGTCCGAAAGAATCTTAACGTTTTTTCTTCGACGTTGGGATCTAGAAGATCTCTTCTAGCTTTGTGASCCAGTGTTTGGGTGCTCACCGTCGACCTACTGCCTAACTTCTACCCTCACTATCAATTCGCTCGCCTGATTGGTCTAGGTAATGAAYAGGATTCATTCCCAGCCTGTTTGTCCCAATGGTTCTACTATGTTTCTTCCCTCTTAAAAGTTAATTTTGAGCCCCATGTCCCTAATAACCTCAAGCAATATCATTAATTCAATTCAGAAAGGAAATCATATGATAGAGATCAATTMAGAATCTCAAGGTTGATAAGTCTCTCTGAGTCAAGATCTCACTTATCCTTCGTTACTGGAATCARCGAGTTAGCAATGATTGAATTAGTTATATGGAAACAGACATCTGGCAGTGGATTGATCAGGATACATTCAAACTTTGTTGGTATCTGGCGTGGAGAGTATAAGTTATCATGACGATGAGGCAGGCTTCTTAGAGTCTCGCTCCTCTCGATCGCCTAGTATACATATATATAGATAAATATATGGCAATGAGGCAGGCTTCATAGAGCCACGCTCCTCTCGATCGCCTAGTATACGTATATAGATAGATATATGGCGATGAGGCAGGTTTCATAGAGTCTCGCTCCTCTCGATCGCCTAGTATACTTATAAATGTGACGATGAGGCAGGCTTCATAGAGCCTCGCTCCTCTCGATCACATAATTTATATATAGATATGGCGATGAGGCAGGCTTCATAGAGCCTCGCTCTTTTCGATCGCCTAGTCTATGTATATAGATAGATAGATATATGGCGATGTGGCAGGCTTCATAGAGCCTCGTTCCTCTCGATCGCCTAGTATACTTATAAATGTGGCGATGAGGCAGGTTTCATAGAGCCTCGCTCCTCTCGATCGCCTAGTATATGTATATATAGATATAYATATGGCGATGAGGCAGGCTTTATAGAGYCTCGCTCCTCTCGATTGCCTAGTTTATATATATAGATAGATAGATATATGACGATGAGGTAGGCTTCATAGAGCCTCGCTCCTCTCGATCGCCTAGTTTATGTATATAGATAGATAGATATATGACGATGAGACAGGCTTCATAGAGCCTCGCTCCTCTCGATCGCCTGGTCAGTCTTAAGGCGTTCTACCGCGC